CTGAACCTCAAGACTTGCACTGGAGGGTCCCGCTTTGGTATGTTTGGCCATTGAAGTTTTACGGAGTGAAGTTTTACGGAGTCTTCGGGAGGAAAGTGGAGCATCTGGAGGAAACCTGCGCATGAGGGGATAGCAGCAGTAGGGCCACGTGGTCAGATTCACAACTCCATTTGCTGTCCTGGCATCTCGCGACCACTCCACTACCGAGTGCTCCTCCAACCTGTGCCTCTAAAGCACGAGACAGCGTGTGCCTGTCGCCATGCCTGGCTTTATCGCGTGCAGTCGCTCGTTTGGCGTTCACTCATTGACCTTTGCATTAATTATAAATAGTTACTTTTAGCCTTGTGGTACTGAGTCTATTAAACATATGGCATAACTTTAAATGAATTAATTTTATTGGAGTATGTGATTTAACTGAGCTTTTACATGTTTGGAGGTGTACGCCCGTCATATCTATGATCGAACTGATAGTGCCGGCCAGAGATTACTGCTACGTTCATCTGTGTATTGCTGAACGCACTGCCATCATCAGTAGTCGTGTGTTATCCGCTGCTGGCTGAAGCGCTCTCCTCGTAGATGCCACGCGATCCATCTCGCTCGTCCTCTCGGGCACGGCTACCCTGTCCTGGTCCCATCCGTTGGGCAACAACAACCTTCCTGCCTGACGCTGCGCTCCTCCAAAGCAAGCTTGCCGTGTGTGTGCTGGATGCTGGGTAGAGACGAAGCAGTCATTTTAATGTCATTCCACTGGCTCAGTTTCAGCCTTGGAACGGATGTTGAAGTTTATTTACAGATGTCAGAGTCCACCTGACTACATGCTAAATTACAAACGCAAATAACTCGCCACCTTCATCTCTACCATTGCCTCATTACACGTAAGAATATACAGTAGCCTGGCCCGCGCCTGAGATGGAATCTGCTGTATATTTGTCCGTATTTAGGCCGTGTTATTGATGAAGGTGGTGAGTGTTCATTATTTATGTTTCCGCACCACTGCCATTGCAGTCACATTATATTTCATCGCTGAATTTATGTATACATAATAGCAATAATGGTCCTGTAACTTACAACCATTTGTCAATCCGCTGCTGGATGAAGGCCTCCCCGCGCTGTGTGATTCATAGCGGTTCTTTGACCATGCTGCACCGCACTGGCTCAGTGCATTTCTGATATCCGCCCCCTTCGTCGTTGGCCATGGCCGAGAATCAAACTCGGCTCACAGTGTTCATTGGTGCGGTGCGCTCACCAACGCACCACCACTCCATCTCGTTTTCTTTAAAAGTCTGTGTGCACGAAGGAAACCTCCGGCATGGTGCCGTGGTGTAACGGTGCGCACTCCGGACTTGTGTTCCAGAGGTCGTCGGTTTGATCTCCCGCCGTGGCAGTTAAACAATGGAGCAAGTTTCTTAACCGCCCCCCCGCCTCTGAGCACCCAGTGGTAAACAGTGGATGGCGACACCACGGATAGTCGATCTGCGTGCGATGGGGTAAAGTGTGCTGTACTCCCACCTAATAATAATAATACACATCTAATCAGTTGTATACCGTCCATGCGAATTGTATCTCGCATTCACGGAAGCACTACAAACCAAGCTGGAAGGCAGCTGCCAGGCTGTGAGCCAGAGCTACCAACAATCGCTCTGCAATCCTCTGTGTATTAAGATGTTTTCAGCCGATGGGTGAGTGTTTAAACACGTGGGAGGAAACCAGAGTACCCAGAGGAAGCCCATGCATGTGATGGGGGCAACCCTCTGTCCGATGTAGGAGGGACAGATGATCTCAGTTCACACTTTGCTGTACTCCGTGTTTTTGTCAAGACGGGTTACGGCCCCTCGAAGGCCACGGGATGGGAGCCTCACGACATTTTGTAATTTGTGTAGTGATCCACCAACTAAATTTTACCTCCATAGCGCTGGATTACAGGCAGCCACGTGCCGTAGCCACCACCTCTTTAGAGATGTTTTGCCAGCATGGAAGAAGGGGCCCAACATACCCTCACAGAGGGGCTCTCTAGGGCTCCATATAATCGAGGCCCTCCTGCCAGCGGTGGCCTCAACAAGGGAATGCAGTGCTGCACCTTTGCCTTTTCTTTTAGACAAAAAAATGGTGCCAAAAAAATGAAGCAATGGGGCCGGTGGCTGAGATGTGCGCCGTCGCCACGTCTCGGCGTGGAATGCGAGGCCCGGAGATTGCGGCGGGAGGGCGGGGGCGCAGGGCGACAACCAAGCCTGCTGTGTCCTCGTATGTCACCATCCGCATGTGGGATGCACCGAAGGTGCGCATCAAAGTCTCTCCCTCTTCATTGGCAAAGTTTCATCAGGGCCACGGCGTCATCACCCTTCCCCGCAATCCCCGCGCAGTCGCCGCACCCCTGCCACCGCACGGCGATGCGCATTTAGAACAACAACAACAACAATTACCGGGGCGATCCATTTAGAGAGGCCACACGAACATATGAGCGAGAATTTACAGAGAAGAGAAAGTCGCATTTCAAAAGCCTTTTCCGTGTCTCGCACCGAATCTCAATGCACTCGAGCAATTGTTTGTCACTCTGCTTGATACGCTTTGTCCAGCACAGCCAATGTACTTCTCCCGCGCAACATTCAATGACGCGTGGCAGCTGCAGTTGCTAATCTCTCATTGGGGTGTCTGCAACTGGCTCACCCTGTTACAGCATTGTCAACCTCCCATCGCACCTCAAGTTCAAGCTCCGCCGTTCCACGCTTATCTGCAGGCTTGTGAAGGTCTCCTTCACTGCCCTTGCATCTCATGAGCTACTTCCCTTTCCTAAGTATGAGGGGTATTTGTTTTTATTTAATCGAAATAATGATCCACTTTGCGCCATTCTGCAATGAAATAAACGACTCGTTATATATATATTTAAAACATAAGAATAGTTGGACAAAATTAAGCCTCTGATCTGTTTGCTTCCACGTGGGAGGTGATGGGTGGGGTTTGGACTGGAGGTGACTGGTGAGACATGTTGACGTCAGAGGCATCATCAGGCCCGTCACCGTTCGCGTGACTTGGAGGGGGTTTCCCACCTTTGCTCGGCAGGATTTTGGGTTGGCCACCAATTTTAAAGAGGCCCAAGAAATTGATATCAGAAAAGCAGTTGATTACACGTTTGTATTAATTTCATCGACTAATCACCCCAGTTGGAGAAATCTCAGTTTGGAACTCGCGCGGCGACGAGCTTTGCATCGGAGAACGGTCTCCAGAAGATTACGTCATAGAACTACTTCGGACAACCGTGATATTCTACGCGAGGTGACGCACCCTTCTCGTGAGCCTGAGCCACCTCCTGTTCCTGCTCTCACTCGAACCAGTCGTAGCTATGACTGCACATTTGTCGTCACAATGGATTTCAGCAAAGTCTGTCTCCATCACTTACCTTACATGCACACGCAATGAAGCGTAATTGCCGTAGAGAAACAGAGCTCTTGTGATCTGAAGCGGTCCTTTCAACTGGACCATTTATGGAATTATACTTTAACGATCTTTATAATGAACGTTATGAAGGGGGATAAATTCAACTCACATTTTGATTAGCGAAATGAGTCTGCCTGCCTTTTCGGTCGAATCTCCTATCAGGTGCGGAGATAGATAGAGTTAATGTTGAGACTCGCATCATCGTTCAATTAACTATATTGGCCACACCTGGCGTGGACATTGAGTAAAGCGTCGAATATCTCAATCCGCTAATAAAGACTAGTGCTTAATACGTCCCTTGGTTCTGAGCGGGCAAATAAATTACTCTGCACTCCTTTGCTCCTGCCTGCCACCGCCACCCACGTAACCTCTGTTACCAGGACAATTTAATCGAGAATCATTGACTCGTTGTTATATGGACTTCCGCGGTGACGAAATTGGTGTGCTGTCTGGCTGTAAATATGGACCATTAATTCTCAGCGTCTTTCCTTATAACCGATGGTAATGTCACAGCAATGTACGTGTTTGGATTTGTGGCCACGCTAGCCTCCCCTGTGTGCACACTGGAAGCCTCGCTAGGTGTTCGCAAACAGCAGTGGTCTCCAGTAGTCCGAGAAAGGCAATACAGCCATCTTTCAATCGTCGCGAATAATTTTAACCGGTAGTGTGCCGCGCGGTATTTCCTCGCTCTTGAAGCGAGAGGGAGCAACTGAGCGGCGTGAAGAAGCACAGGCGAGCATGAGGTGTGAGCCAGGCGGTGAGCCGGCACCAACGATTGCCAAAGCTCTGCAGTCTACTTTATAATAAGATGTTTTCGTCTAATTAATATGCGTGTACGTGATGGAGGGGATTCGAGCACCTGGAGAATAGCCATGCGCGTGAGGGGGCAACGCTCTATCAGGTACAGATGGAATCGGAGGAGTCCACACTTTGCTGTTCCGCCTTCTCGTGGAGAGCCAGGGTGTAGCACCGCAATGCCTACGCGAAGGGAGTTTCACAACATGTGTGTGCGATTTACCAACCCTCGCTGCCTCTGCAGTGCTGAATTATAGGCTACGTGCAGCAGAGCCACCACTGCGCAGCAGTGTGTGTGGATCAAACAGGCTACAGAGCCGATATTTTTCATCGTATAAAGAATCCTTAATATCTGTAAGTATGTGAATATGGGTGTAAAGTGCATCTTGCCTGGCACAAACGTCATGTGACGCCGCTACCCCTCCGTGGTGAATGTTTGTATGTTGAACTTCTTTTGCACCACCGTACGAAGCCGACCGTGCTCATCAGAGGTGCGAAGAACAACAAACGGAACACAAAAAGCTGTTCTGAAAAAATGCGTTTTCAATTTATAATGGTAGCTGTTGTTATCTTTGTCATTGACGCAGCTCACGTCACCCACACGCTCACTCACATCGCCGACGCGCTCACTCACGTTGCCAGTCGCCCACACGCTCACTCACGTCACCCACTCGCTCACTCACATCGCCCACACGCTCACTCACGTCACCTGTCGCCCACGCGCTCACTCACGTCGCCCACTCACTCACGTTGCCCGCGCATTGCCGTTGCAGCATTTGGCCGCGTGGCCATGCCGCCGGGGCTGGTGCGACGGGAGCTGTCGTGCGAGGGCTACCCCATCGACCTACGCTGCCCGGGCAGCGACGTCATCATGATCGAGAGCGCCAACTACGGCCGCACCGACGACCACATCTGCGACGCCGATCCCGCCAAGATGGAGAACGTGCACTGCTACCTGCCGGACACGTTCAAGATCATGACGCAGCGGTGAGTGAACGCGTGCGGCCCGCCCGTAACCGAGCGCGAGCTAAAACCGGGGGGCCCCCGCCACCTTGTTTCCGCTGGGGAGGAGAGCCAGAGACGTATTTTCCCAAGTCGGCCGAGGTCGATCAGAACCGTGCAATGTACCGAAATGGAGGTCAAGACAATACCTGTACCAGATCTCGACACAAATCAATTCCCGCCACACGGACACAGATGCCATTTCCCAGACTGTCTGGGTCAAATCCCAAGCTAAACGCTGCTGTTTCACATCATCTCTTTATCAGTGCCGTCATTCGCAGGACACGTTTTGGCAATCCCCGCACGGGTCACGAAAGTGTGCAGAGGAGGCCTGCGAGGTGGGCCCTGAGGGTCCGCCCCCCGCCACCTAACTAGTCCGTGCAGTACCCACAATCCCTTGCTACAATCAAGGACGTACAGAAAAGTCCCGTGGATGGTGCCATCGACTCGTAAACAAGTTTACGCCGAGGCACAAAAGCAAAAGCGCTCAGCGCGAAGGGAACATGGAAAACGTCATCGTCGTCATCGTCAGGGTGTGTGGTGCTTGCTACATCACCCCCGTGTGTGCTATGCTGGCCTTAATAGGGACTTGCCAACAGCACGTTCTTTTCTCTAAACAGATTGTTACAAGTTGTACAGGGGATGTTTATGTGTGCCACAGTGAGGAGTGCAGGTGGTGCACTCCTTACTCCCTGGAATTCTGGACATTTTAGTCAGCAAGCTCACATCAGCCTCTGCACCCATGCATCTACCATCCAGCGCTGTGCATAAAGAGTCCAAGTGTTTAGTGAGTGTTTGGGCAGTGCTCAACTCCGTTGGCTGTACGTGATCAGTGGCAGACACTTCATGTTCCCGTAATGAGAGTCAAGCATTCCCAAAGATGGACACTGCTGATTGTACAAATTCCAAGATCCCCCGTGTGGCCTTTTACAGACAGCTGTGAGCGAATAGCTACGTCGGCCGGCACAGCGCACAAGGGTTTGGTGTTGGCCAGAACCACGCTCGGCCACCTTTGGCTCCTCAGCGCCGATGCTTGTGTACCTCGCCAGGTACCGGTGGCTGGGTCGGCCTGGTGTGGAGGCCCAAAACCGTTCCGGATAAGCGCCACGGATGTTGGCGGCGGTCAGGAATCCCACCGGATATCTGTAACAAAGAGCTTCATAGCTCATTGGACTCCCCCAGTCTAAATCAAGATTCTGATGGGGGGTCACGTGGTTCATAGTGTAGCGCTAACGGACATACACACGTACACAAACAAGATCAACAGCAACCGCTATGTGCCACTAACTAGCAATGCTGTCACGATGGCACGAGAGCACTTCCAGGCTACTTGTAGTGTCAAAGGCTCTCAGGCAGGAAGTCACAGGACAAGCGCAAACTGTTATGGGCGAATTGACTGAGACCACTGGCAGATGCACCACCTGCGCCTCCCCATTGTGCTACATTGCTGCGTTTTAGCCACCTGCTACTCTGTCGGTTGTTGTGAGCATCATTCCTGTTGCCTCCAGTTGTTGCGGGATGGGTGGCTGACACCAAGTGCCCAGTAGCAACTTTGGCAAATCCATTTCGAACCAATGTCTCTTGCACTTCATATGTCCAATCAAACAGAAGCTGCTTTGGCACGTGTTGGCTGGGTATGTGAGCTACATGACCCAGACAAGTCATCCTACATAATAGAGGTTTTTTGGGTTAGATCGCGTAAATATATAAATGTGTCGTTAAAACCCACCACCACCCGACACAGCCGACTAGTAAGGGTTGTCACGTACACAGAACTTGCCAATTCGTCACTAGTACAGCACCACACCGGTGTGTTGGAGAGCCAAGCCACAACATTTACAATCTTACTACGACGTTTTGCCAGTAATACAACTAGCTTCATCAGGCTACAGCCAGATTTGTGGAGAAGTCCACCTGTTTCGTTCCTTAAATAGAGCCGTAGACATGGTGACCACAATTCTGCGCTCTTGCGCAAAGTGGGGGGGGGGGGGGGGGGGGTATTAATGAGTCAACGTACATTATGCATGTGCATTAAGGCATTCTCGCCTGCTGGATGAGCCCATTGATCTGGATAAGGCCCAGATCTGTGTCTTCCTCGCCCAAGTTCACCTGGAATTTCCATGATGCCAGCAGCTTTCATTTTTTGACCTCATTAAGGCCAACGATACTGTCAAGAGGCTTTTGGGATCCCTGATCATGTTCATTAAGGACCATGATGATGGTGGCAGTCCCAGCTAAAGCTACGTGGTCAAGAGTGAGACCCATTCTTTGTCTTCATTCTGAGGTGTGAAAGGGAAGGCCTTTGGGCTCCTCTAATATCTCACATCTTTGTTTGACCACTTTATTCAAGAAGCCTTTGAAGACTGCATGAGTGGAACACCATCTGGTAGAGATACAATGGGAAGCCAATTGACGGCTGGGTTCGGGGAACTTCTTCGAGGATGCCATTATTCTCGAATTGTTCCCGGCACAACCGCAGAGCGAAAACGTTGAACATTATCCTGAACAACGTGCGGCACAACATGCAGACACGTCGGAGGGCTGTGCATCACAACCGCGGGAAGCTGTGCAGCAGTTTCCATGCTCTCCCGTCCAAAGCCAAGCTCCCAGTTTTAACCCCGTGCTCCCATCCGAGACAGAGGCAGGCTTTTATGTGCGCAGCGTGACCGACATCCCAACCTGGTCAACGAAGAAGTTGATTTTGTACCTAATTCGATCAAGCATAGCTATAAGGGCTTATTTGGCAGATAAGCACCGAATAAGCCACTGGCGAGCACAACTGAACCTGGGAGAGCTCCGTGCACCTCGTGCGGGAGATAGAGCGCCGTAACGGTGCAGGCAAAGCACAATCATGTCGCTCGTGCGACGTGAGTGATGTTCAGCTGTCACGGAGGACTTCAGCAGTGGGAAAGTGGTGCGCTCGGCGCCGAGATGCCGGTCGCACATTTGGCGTGCAATCGCTGAAAATGTAAAAGCAGGTACATATGCAATTGTATAGAGTGCTTAGAAAACATATCTTTTTGGAAATATGATAATGGGAGCGCACGAAGCTCAGAAGAACGGCACCAAAGTAATAGAATGCGGCTGTAGAATAACACAATCCAGGTAGCAGAGTTGTGCATTGTGCTCTGGATCCAGGGACCTGTGTTCAATTCCCAGCCACGGCTTACAACCTTGGCGAGTGATGTCTGATCCAGTCGCTCTCTTTAACATCCATAAACATTCTCTGCATTATGTGCCCCATATTAAAACTCAAATTACACACGTTATACACAATGTACTCTGGACCGAGTGACCTGAGTTCCATTTCCAGCCATGGCTACCATCCGTGGTGAGTGATATCTGATCCATCGCCCTCCGACTCATCCTGCCAGCACGGTAAAGCGTCGTGGAGGAAGCCTGTATCCGTCAGTGGAATGACTACATTATTATAATTACATTGTATACTCAAACTATTAAACTATTTTTTTTCATTGACCAGACAAGGTCCACTGAGCAAAATTATATATTTTTTTACGCAAGTGGCTTATCGCGTGGAAATGTATAGTGGCCAAATGCTCTGAGCGCGTAGGGAATGCCTTAAAGCCTCCCTTTTTACAAATAGCATGAACGTGTGCAGCTAAGAATAAAAAAGCGACACGAAAAAACACCTCAAAATGTAATGAAACGATTGAATTATAATTGCGTGCGGTGACAAAAAATGCGGCGACATCTCTAGATGCCGCGCACAAAATCCGGGGGGGGGGGGGGGGGATGGGGGGGGGGCACGTTTCGAGAGAGGAGCGGCGGGTGAAAGGGCGGATAACGGAGAGGGGGACGCTTCTTGCGTAATGGATGAAGAGGTGCCGAGGGTAGCGGAGAATGCGACGACGTACAATGGGGGGACGTTCGCACGCCACGGCAGTCGGGCCGATAAGCGCAGAGCGAGAAGTCGGCGCTCTCGAGCAATTGAGCAAGGACTCGAACCAGGGGCATGAGGTCAGAAATACGGACGAACGGGATGAAAGAGAGATCCGGACCTCGAGCGCGTTGGGCGGAGGAGAAGTAGTGATGGGTCGGGGGTGGAGAGGGAAGAAGGGGCGAGAGGGAAGCAAATTAGAAAAACTGCACCTTGACATGCGTGCGTGCTCTTGTGCGCTATACACGCACAAAAGCGATATCTTATTCTGTAAATGAATTGGCCCTCGCGCAGTGTGTCGGGGGGTCCCGCGCTTAACATTCGCGGCACGTCCACGCGCTCGTGAAGCGTGCGGTTTTTTTTGTTTGCACGTAACCGTGTTGAGGGCATCTGTAAAATCTTATTGCGGCGTGCAAACATGCGCGGCGCGGACGCATGGGCATGCACTCCATAAAATGAGATACGGCGGAGCATCTGTTCTCCATCTGCGGTCGGCTTTCAAAATTGCGCCTGATCAATGTGAGCGCGCCTAACGTGCGATCTATAGACGAGCAACCTTTGGTCGTGTGCCGTCGGCCTCTTTATTTACGCTTTCGCGGGCCACGCCGCACCGCCCTCTGCGTTGCGCTCGCTTGTTGCCCTCGCCGCGCAGCGTCCACGCTGCCGGCCACAGAGCTCGGGGGACACCGTGCCGACCGCGTGTCACTTGCGTGGATGCACACCGCACCGGGGTACTGCTGCTGGTGGCCAAGAGAATCTTGTTATTTGCTGCAGTCAGACGGCGTTTGGCCCTGCTCTGCGCGTCGAGTGCCGTTGCCCGCGCAGTCGTGAATTGTGAGCTTGCTGGGGGAGTGGTAGTGCCACTGGTGAGCGAGCAGCACAGCGCTTCAGATCCGGCGAGATGGGTTGTACACCTGGCCACGGCCAAGCGTGATATCTGACCCGGTCCCGGGTGGTCCCTTTGCCAATCTGCGCTAACCAATGGCGAGCCCCCGATCTCCGTGACTGACATTGGCATCGGGAGGAATGAGCCCAGCAGTGGATTGAGAAAGAGCTGTAAATAATAGTAATTATGTAAGAGTAATTT